GGAATAGGAGTCGGCAGGCCTCCACACAGCATTACAGCCAAGCCCCCTTTTTTGCATTCCATGTATCAGTGGTAAGACGGCCTGGGCTTTTCATCTGGACTAATTCTCTCCTGAATATGACTTCCAACTGCAGCCTCCTGCTGTGCCACGGTGACTTCTGTTCCCCACAACAAAGGTTCGAAATCTTCCTTGCTCACTACCTCACACTTCCGTTTGAAGAAGGCCATGCTCTCCAGTAAAGGGATTCCTACCTAAAGGCCGGCTATCTGATTCTAATGTGCTCAACAGACATGCCCACTCTAGGAGCAAATTATAAGTGAAACACTTCTTCTTATGTGACATCTAAAGGCCAGGCTTTCTTTAAGAAATGTGACCTTCCAGTAAATGCAATACTAGTGAAATGTAACAAGAGAAAAAAGGGGCTGGGTAGGAGTGAGTTGGCCCTGCAAGTGTGAGGACCTAGTTCAGATCCCCAGAACTTACGTGAATGTCAGGTAGCGGAATAAGGGCTCAGAAGCAGAGAAAGGGGATCTCAGAGAAAACTGATTAGCTAGATTAGCTACGATGATGAGCACCTGGTTAAGTAGAAAACCCCACTTCGATAAATAAGACAGTGCTCAGGAAAGATTGCCAATATCCGCCACAGGCCTCCACACATGTGGATGTGCAGCTTCATACACAGAAGCCCACACATGTGAACACACATACACACAGCACACACCCTACACACATGCACATAAAAGAACAAATTCAAAGGCTGAGACAAATAAGTATCAAAATAAGGAAGATAAGCAATTAAAGTGGATGCCTTTCATAGATCCTGTGGAAGGACCACTTACAAATACATGACTCGTCTTTCTCTTAGGACATAAATAACATCAAGATGCTATCCTAAGCAAGCAAGCAAACAAACAAAACAGAAAAAGGTCTACTACTTCTAACAACTTACTGTATTTTGTAATACAGTGTCTGGAAAAATTACATGAAAAATAATAAAACATTAGAGTGCTTGTTGTGTATAACTGGACGGACAGAAGATGCGGAGGGAGAGTAAAGGGCTGGAGAAGAGAGAGCATTTAGTCTTGGAATGTTGCTGCAGTGGGGAGAGGAGTGGTTGAGGGTAAGGTGTGTGGCAGGGAGATACCAGCTTCCTCGAGGTGCCTTGAGAGATAAGCGAGGCTGAGGCTCAGAGCAGCAGAAACAGGAACATTTGCCTGCCAAAGGATACACATTCCAATCCACTGAAATAGCTCTAGTAAGTTCTTTAAAATGTGCGGCATAGAACAAAGGAAACACTAAAAAAGGTGTGTGCGCTCCTAAGTCAAGACCTCGAGAAAGGATGTGATTCAAAGGTTAGATACGCTAAAAACAGATGTAGACCCAAGGCTAGCTGGAGGAGGACTGATTCTGAGGAGACTGACTAATCGCCACCTGCAGGTAAAAAACACAGAAAGTGAAAGCAGAGAGTTCAGTCAGCTCTAGACAAAGATGGAGTCCTTGCTTCTTCTCTGCTAGAGAAGGGGGCTGTCTGCACAGGCGCTGCCCCATGTAGCTCCCACACCAAGTATGCTTACACAAGGAAACTGGGGCTCAGCGTGGTTCAGTCGTGTGTGCCCTTTGAATTTTGCAGAGCAGACAGAACTTGACAGCGACTACTCCTGTCTAGGGCTATGCTCTGTACACTGTTCCAATGTAAAACGATGCATGCACTTTACTGCAATAGGTGTTGAGATTTTATTTATTGATTTATTTTTGATAAAGGGCTTCACTCTGTAGCCCAGATCGGCTTGGAACTCACAATGACAAGCTCATCTTAAATTTGTAGCATTCCTCAAGCCTTTGCCTCCTGAGTGTTATGATTACAATAATGTCTCACCATGCATGGTTACCATTTATATTTTAAAAGAAGTGAATCAAAGACACTGCCACAGTAATGTCATTCTCATGGGTTGTAATATGTGTTCACAGATGAACCAAGACTAGAGACAGCGGATGTTGCAGGGATGAAGTAGAAAATCCTGGGACACTGCTGCCATGTGGACACAAGCAGCTGATGGTCAGGACAGAATGGTCCATTAGGGTGTTTCAAATCATTCATTTAGTTACACTCAGTAAAAAGACCATGGGCTTTGGAAATAGGCTGTTCTTACTCAAAATAAGAATTCTGTTGCATAGTAAAGGCATGGCAAATTCTGGAGTGGTTACTTTACATTCTTAATTTCTGTTTTCTTGTGCAGGCATTATAGTTAGTTAAAGGTATAATTAGGTTGGAGGGAAAGAGAAGGCCTTTAGATAATAGGGAGAAAGTGTAACATTAAAAATTAAAGAGAACCAGGTATGGTGATTCACATCTGTAATCCTATCATTCAAGAGGCTGAGGCAGGAGGATTACCAGGACTATAAGGCAAGCCTGGGCTGCAGAGTGAGGCTGTGCCTGAAAACAAACTCTGTTTGCATTCATTTAGCATGGCCTTTGGCAAGCCATAAACTGTGAACTCCATTATATAAAATGGGGATAGCAACATCTCTCTCAGGATGGAGAGATACCAGGACAGCCAGTTCATATAAAGGAGATGTAGCACAGTAAATCATTAAGACAAGTCTTGCCAGATTAAGTACAAATTTTACATCCTTTCTCTGTAAACTTTGTCTTTATTATAGCAGTGCCAACGGCTATAGATTAAAATACCACAGAAGGCTTAAAAACCATCGATGGGTCTGATGCCTTTAATCCCAGCACTCACGAGGCAGAGGTAGGCAAATCTCTGAGTTTGAGGCCAACCTGATCTATAGAGCAAGTCCCAGGACAGCTAGGCTACACAGAGAAACCCTGTCTCAGTCAATCAATCAACCAGCCATCATAATTTGATAAAAAACTGGGCATACGCAGTTAAGAATATGTCTGGCTCTGTGTTGTTTTGAAAAGATAAACTTTACACTGGTTGTGGTGACATACACCTTTAATCCCAGCACTAGAGAGGCAGAGACAGGTGGATCTCTCTGAGTTTGAGGCCAGCCAAGATTACAGTGAATTCCAGGACATCTAGGGTTACATAGAAAAAACCCTGTCTTGAAAAAAACAAACAAAACAACTTTATATAAACTGGAAATTGTTCCTTTTTCTTGCAGTTCTTAAAACCTTTTTTTCTTCATTAAAAGTCTCCATTCAAACATTACACTTCTTGGGGATGTGACTCAATCAATAGACTGTCATCTAGTACCCGCAATGCCCCGGATTCGATCACCAGCACAGAATAAACTGGGCATGGTAGCATACTCCAGTAATCCCAGCACTTTTGAGATCAGGAGTTCAAAGCCATCCTCTACTAAATAGCAAGTCTGAGGCCAGCCTAAGCTACATGAGACCAATAAAAACAAAACAAAACAAAAACTCACAACATTTGGTTAAATAAAATGCACAATCAATCTGAGAAACAACAGATTAATGCCATTAGCAAAGGCTATGGGCAGTTTTACCCATGAGACTGGTTACTGATGCTCACCACCCCGCCTTTCACAGGTGTTGAGGGGGCTGTCAGTCTAGAATATAAGAGAGGGAATGTTTGTTTGTAAAACTGCCCCACCTTCCAGAATGTCTTAAGTCATAAGAGGTTCTTCTATCACATTACTACTACAGAGTTTTGTAGACCTAATCTGAGAGCTTTGTCCACACATCCAGCGTGGATCACAGATCTGAGTAGGAGTCGATGGGGTTCAGATTACAACCAGGTTTAGTGGCTTTTCCCAGATCATTAGAAAATGAAGGGCGAACTCAGTTAAAGCTTCACCGCTGGAGGTTTTGCAGAGCCGTGTGAACCAAGAAGTTTAAAGTCACTTGTATTCCTGTGTCACCTAGATGGTATCTCAATGCCCGGTCCATTCTAAAGCCTTGTCCAAGCTTCAGAAAAAGCCACTGCATACCTGGCAGAAATGTATTGCGGTCTGCAGAAGTGAGTAAAGCTGCACCTCTAACGGGTAGGTAATTGAAGCCTCTGGGCCAAACTGGGGCACGCTCACAACCACCAATTAGACCCCCCCCCCCCAATTTAAGGAGGGTAGGAATCTGAAATGTTTAGCTGATTTGCTGTGAGTTTAAAACGCATAAGGACTTGGAAACCCGGTGAAGTTTTGCCCTCACCCTCTAGTGAAACATCTGCATGAGCACGGAGACTAGGGTGGGCTGAGCCATCGCAAAGCCAGGTGAACTCGAAGTGTTTGAAAATAACTGAAATCCAAGGAACACAGCCAAGCGTCGTGGGTGGGGGGTGGGTGGCTGCTGGACAAGAGAAAGGCTTTGGTATTTACCGAGCACACCCTAAGGCTCCTGAAGGCTAACTCCATCTCTATGCTGGCAACACCTCTATGCTGCGAGCCACAGAACACTAAGGATCAGGGAGGCTCTGTCTGGGAAGAAGGCAGAGGTCCTGGCTGCAATTGCTGGCCTAGACACCTGACCTCCGGGATGCTGAGCAGCCCCCTCCAGCCCCTCTGGTCCTGCAGGTGAGCGGGCTGGCTCTGACTCAATCCCTAAATAGACCTTGGGTTTCACCCTCCTTCCTTAAAAAAGTGTAACTTCAGGCATTCTGGGGAGGCGAGGGAGGTGGGGAAAAGAGCAGACAAACCAGGCCCTAGCATCTCCGGGTGTTTTGAAGGTAAGGAAGGAGAATCGCCCAGGCCATCCCTACCGCTACCGCGTTTCCTCCTCGTGCGCCCCTCCCCCAGCCCCCCAGAACCTGGTGCGGCCGTACTGCGCTAGGCGCCGGGCTAGGGGTCCCTTGCACGGACGCCAGGACCCGCGTGGGTCGGGTGGGGTTGGGATTGGCGGGCTCCCAGGACCGCACGCTGGGAGGCGACCACATTGTGCCGGTCCCAGAGCCCGGAGGAGGCAGGGACACGAGCGAGCGAGGCGGGGTGGGCGCATCCGGGCTGGTTGGCCACTGAGTCGAGTGGCCGGGTGTCGGCCGACCCTCTCCATCCCTCCGTGAGTCTCCAGCCCTTACCTCTGGGGGCGACCGTGTCCGCAAGAGAGGGTGCTGGGGCGCGGCGAGCTGTGTCCAGGTTGGATTCAGCGGTGGCTGGCGATCTCCGGGTGGCTCATGCCTTGTCGCGCCCAGAGTGCTGCGGCCCCGGCCACGGCGGCGCCTTGGTCCTAGTCCTCTTCGCGGGATCCAACCCGGGACGCAGCTAACGCCCCAGCTCCGCAGCCTGTTCCTCCTCCCCGGTGCCTCCCCAGCCGCGAGCGGAGCCGCCTCCAGCGCCGCCCCGCGCGCTGCCCGGCCGGCGGCAGCCAGCGCCGCCCAGCGCCCGGCCCCGGGGTCGCCGCCGCCTGCCTAGTCGCAGCCGCGGTGCCAGCCCCGCTGTGACGCAGGCAGCGGTGCCCAGGAACTTCCTCCTCTGCAGAGACCACCCGACGCCCGGGGCGGGCGGGCCTTCGCCACTGCTGGCTGCTGAGTACCGCCTTCCGCACCGGGAAAGCAATCCTGTCCGCAGGACAGATTGCGCTGCTCCGAACCGCCCGCCTGGTGGGCACTGCAGAGGAGAGCAGCTAGCTGCATCCCCTGCCTCCGGTGCGCATCCCTAACAATGCCAGAAAGCGGATGGCTTCTGTGCGGGCGGCGTCCGCTCCCACACCGCAGTTCCTCCCGGGGTTTGGTTGGAGCGAGTAGCTGCTGCTAAAAATAGCCCTCCTGGGAACTGCACAAGGGTTAGGATGGAGATAACCCCTCCCCGGAGAACCAAAGGTTGAGAGGGCGGTGGGATACACTAAGGAGGACAGGAGAAAGAAAACAACAAAACAAAACAAACAAACAAACAAAACCCGCCGATGTTCCTAAGGCACGTAGCCTCAAGCTCTTGAACAACCTCAAGCTGGTGTTCTTCTGGCAGGAGTCCCCATCTATCCGACCCTGACAGATGGGCTCTGACCAGCAGGTGCCACTCAGTATGAAAGTTCTGCCTACGATTTTGTTTACGCCGGGGCGGGGTGTGTGTGTGTGTGTGTGTGTGTGTGTGTGTGTGTGTGTGTAAGAGTTAACAGTGTGCACCAAACCACCTGTTGTTTGGACAGTGTGAGGGAGGAGTGCTGTCCCATCCGTTGAACCGTGGGTTTCTCCTCCCATCCCTCTGCCCAACTAGGTCTAAAGCGCAAACTGACCTCCTAAAAGCTGGCAGCTCCCTACAAAGAAAAATTTCCTGATGGGGAAGAAAAAAAAGGCAGACAAGATAACTGTAGCAGAGTCTTCTGGGAGTGAATATGCTTGTCAGTACCAGCTGGCTGTCCTCAGTGCACTGATGATGAACGATTACTCTGTTCTAGCAGTTTGGGAGAGAGGAAAGGAACGAGCACCCAACAGCCACTAACTAGTTTGTGTGCTCTTGCATTTTGGAAGGTCCATCCATGTTCCCTGTCGGTGTCGTGCCCACCCCCCCACTCCCTCACCCTCCACACTCCCTCACCCTCCACACTCCCCCACCCTCCACCCCCCCACTCCCCCACCCTGCCTTAAGATCTTAACTGTTCCTGCTCTTGCAATAAAGTACTACACCATCTCTAATCGCAGTGCTGTTGTTGGCTCCAGAAGACAACCTTAAACTCCTTCAGGCCTTAGGAGACTTGCCCTTGCATCAGCCTCATTAACCTAGTACAGGTCTACAACCTCGGGTAGGTGTTCTGTGGTGGGAACCAGGGAGGTTTCAGTGTCTCTGAGGGAAAGACAGAGATTTGTTTTTGGTAGTTTGTTGGAAGGAAAGAAAGAAGAGGGGGAGAAGGGGGTTGGGAGGGAAGAAAGAAGGAAGAAGGAAGGAAGGAAAGGAAGAAAGAAAGAAAGAAATAATTTTAAGTACCCTGTATCCAGCAGGTAGAAGCAAAACTATTCCATGAGGTAGCTCCCAATTCAAACATTTTGCCTCAGGCGCTGGGATGGTGTCTTCCCACTGTGAGGTTGGATGGCAAAAACCAAACATGAACCTCAGAAAAGTAACTCCTACAGTTGAAAACCTCCCATGCATTGTCTTATTTTCCAGACGCTGTCCCAGGGCACACCAATACTCTGTTGTCTTCAGCATCCCAACTAAGCTGAGGCCTGCTAACCCATTGCTAAGGGACCATCAAACCCTAGCCCAGTGGTTCTCAACTTTCCTGACACAGAAACCCTCTAATACAGTTCCTCATATTGTGGTGACCCCACCACCACCCATAAAATTATTTTCATTGCTACTTCATAACTGTTATGAATCATAGTGTAAATATCTGATATGCAGGATGTCTGATATATACCCCCTGTGAAAAGGTCACTCGTCTTCCAAAGGGATTTCCAACCCACAGGTTGAGAACTACTACCCTAGGTTGTTAGTGAAGATGAAACCGACTTACGTCTCTGCTCCTCCTTGTTAAGCCCAGGAAAGGACTGCTCCTTTTCCCATATCCATCAGTAATGTAGGTATAGTACAACAGGGATCTGGAAGAATCCCATAGCATGTGTAAAGCACCAAGAAAATGAACCAAGCAACTACTTCACTTTGTAAGCACTTGATACAGGAGAGCACTTACTGAAACCATTACTCTTTGCTACCTTCTAGGAGAAGAATGGGTACAATATTGAAGTTTGAAATGAGATATGCACCCGTTTGTCAAGATTTCTCTAGAGTTGCTTTCTAACTGTACCCAGAGCTCTTCTGTAATGAGGGTTCACAGGGCAAACAGGACAGTTCTGCATCTCTAGACAGGTGGTTGCAAATGCATATTAAATATGGAGTTACTTGTCTAAAAGTCATGGCACTATACTGTTTTGGTCATCCTTTCTTATTTGCTAGCTTATAAACATCAATCAAGTCTAGCCTTTTCACTTCAGTTAGCTTAACTCAAAACACATACTTAGCAAGCTCTCTGTAATAAAACACTGGATGAATCAGCAATTAATCAGCGTGTGTGAATGCTCGCTCCGAAAGTACGACACCTGGAGGCTTCAGAAAAGTAGGAGCGCTTATTCATTGATGCCAGGGTGTTATGGAAAAGAAAACAAGTGAGGTTGGAAGTCTGCATCTTCAAATCGTGATGTAAGTTCAGTAAGAAAAGAGGTTGCTGTTGTCTGGCTAATCTGGGATTTTATCTTGACTTTGTTTTATATGCACTTCTCCCATACCTTCCTCCCAACTCTTGAGCTGGGGACAGAACTCATGGTCTCATTTTAGCCAAAAGCTCTCTACCCTAGAGCAATTTGACATTCTATTTGAGCTTCCAGATCCAAACTCTACAGATACTAGTTAACTGTAGACAGTTTGTAACAGGGAGTACAAGTGGATATTTCTGGACTGGGCAAGGCTAAGGTCCAGGGTAAGAAGTATACACTTCTGGGCTCAGGCTCTGTGTTACTAGCTCTGGTCCTTAGCTTCTTTTAAACTTCAGCTCTCTCATCTCTTTCCTAGAACTTATTTCTTTGGGGTTGTTGGTGAGATTGGGCCTGTATCTTGTAAATGGTGATCTGGTTGCTTTGTTGTTGTTTGTTTGTTTGTTTTTGTTTTTTGTGTTTTTATTGTTAGCATTGGGAAAAGAACTTCCCCAAGCCATCATCTCATTCTTTGAATAATTAAAGAATCACTTTGTCAGGTGCCAGCATCTTCCTGGAAAACGTATTTCTTCTTTGTGTTCTCACAGTGTTTCGTTTTTACAAGCCTACTTCACCATCAAGTGTAAGAGCTTCCCTGGTGCAAGGACTGTAATTATGCATCTTCACATCTGTTACCAATACCTAGCCTAGGACCTTCTATTAAATACTAATATTTCAACAAGAAAGCAAGATAGGAGGGACTAGGAGACAAGGAGGATTCTGGGAGATGTAGTAGAGAGAAGTCAAGATGTAGACCCTGAGAGAAATAAGAGGTATGGACCCTTTCTCCGGACTCTCTTTCCGGTAAGATAAGATTATGTGGAAACACTTAGATTGATGGAAATGGATTGATATTTAAGACAGAGCTAACCAATAAGAAACGCTTATAACTGGCCAACAGTTTCATAATAAATAGATAAATACTAATATTTCAAATTTTGGTTTATACTGATTCTCAGTATTGGCTCATAGTATATGCTCTGAAATCTGTATACTCTAGCTAATAAATAATTTATATTTAATAATGAATATGTATGAAAGTGCCATCATGAAACCCAATACTTTGTATGCTAATTTAAAAAATAAATTTCAAAAATCTTAATCTCACTTTAAAACTATACTAAAATGATGCATTATATACAAGTCCAGCCATAACACCTGATGTTTTTTGATGTTGGAATTACTCTTTAGGGTGAACCTGCTATTTTCACTTTGTCTTGCTTTTTCTGTCAGTTGATCCTGCCCTGGTAATAATGAAAGTAAAGTTTACATTCTCGGTCAAAACTACCAGCAAGGTTTTACTCGGAATCCTCGTCTAACCCATCTATGCATCTGCTACCCAGACCTTTTCTGGCTTGTGGGAAGGAACTGAACTAACAGAAAACATCCTGTTTTAAGTTTCAACTGTTAACATTGTTGCAACAATTAGCACATAGTGAATTTCTGGCTTCATGAGAAAACTTGAGCCACAGCTTTGAAATGGCTGCTTTATACTATCAAAACCACTAAAACAGCAGGAAGAATTCCTTCCCCTGTCAATGACCTCTGCTCAGTTCCCTGAGGAGGTAATGTGGTGATGGCAGCTGAATGTGCATCACACCAAAGACATAAACATACAAGACTTTAAGTTTCTAGACCCAGGGCAGGTACACATAGGCCATGACACACGTGTGGAGATCAGAGGACAACTTTGTGTAGTTGTTTCATGTAGCATCTTAGGGTTTCTATGGCTGTGAAGAGACACCATGACCACAGAAACTCTTATAAAGGAAAACCTTTAAATGAGGGGGCTCGCCTACAGTTTCAGAAGTTCAGTCCGTTATCATGGCGGGACATGGCAGCGTGCAGACAGACATGGTGCTGGAGAAATAGCTGAAAGTCCTACAGCCTGGAGGCAACAGAAAGTCAAGGAGTGTCACACTGAGCTGAGCACAGGAAACGTCAAAGCCCACCTCCACAGTGACTCGCTTCCTCCAACAAAGCCACACCTCCTAATAGTGCCACTCACTTTGGCATTATGGGGCAATTACATTTAAATTACTTCATGTAGTCACTTCTTTCCTGATACTTGTGGGACCCAGGGACTGAACTCAGGCCATGTGAAAGCACCTCCACCCAAGAAGCCTTCCAGGCCCATTCAGA